TATTATAAGTATATTCATTGACTCATTATAGCTATAAACTCTGTGGCGTGGTCTGCTATTATTCTCTGGGTGCTGCATACCTGAAGATAATTTTTTTCTACCAATGATTTGGTTACTGTTTCTGCTTATTTTCTTCTCTATTACGTATTCTTCTACGTGGTTGCTTAATTCGCATTGTACGTCAATATATATGTTCCCATTTTCATCCATGTACATGTTAATGGGTTTCTTGTTTATTATTTAGTGCTTATGCCTTTGGCAGTCGTCGCATCTCTTCACATTTCACCTATTTCTCAATATTTCTTCGTAATTCGTTCCAGAAATATTATTTCCTTATATTTATGTACTATATATCCTATTTATTCTTCCATATCCTTCCTGTAATATGTGGACGTCATTAATTATAAATCTTCTTGATCTGCTTATCTTTTACCATATTATGTATTGATTGTATTATGTTTATCTTGTACTATACAAGCTTTTCTACCTTTTTCTTAAAAAAAATTATGTATTCTTTAATCTTTTCGTATTTCATTAAAAATTGGCTGATTCTTATTTTTCATCTCTTCTTATCCTCATTTATCATTATTATCATTTTCTTTATATTCTGCACTCACATTTGTGAGACAAAATCTCGTCAAGCCTCCTAATGCTATTCCTGAAGCATAAATCCTTAAAATAAATTTGTTTTTCTTTAATAAATCGAGGAATTATATAACAAAGCTTATTAGATATATGTCTTGGGCTCATTAAATGTTTCTTTCATCTGAATCTCGCTTTTTAGTTTCTTTACAAGTCTATTATTTCCCACGTGACCTCCAAACATCGGGTGATTATGGTATTCTTCTATTATTTTCAGTTTTAGTTGTTCATCCTCTAAAATTTCTGGTACTCCATATATGTATATTTTTACGTTTTTCAATATCTTATTTCATTCGTTTATAAATTCATCAATTGTGCACGATTTAAAAATAACATCATTTACATATATTTTTGCTTTACTTATGGCATTCTCTACCGCTAGCTGATCAAGCTGTACCAACAATTGATCTAAATCAAAGTGAAGTACTGTGGTCATGCTCTTGCTGCATTTAATTTTGTTGTTGACCCGAATGCTCAGTCTTGGTGAGACTCGGTTTGCTCCAAAAGACAAAATTGGTAGTCTAGGCGCCTCCATATTATTAAGTACCTTTCTTACTGTTTGCTTGTGGGTTTTGTGTTTTAATATAATTTCCTCTGAGTTCTTTATTATGGCAAACTTCTTTTTTAAAAATTTTCCATTTACAAAAAAAAAATCAAAATTCCAAATTCGTTTTACCATTTTAATCCATTATGTAGTTACTGTATTTTCGTGCTAGAGCCGTAAAACTCTTAGCGGGTTGGTATTCAAGTACCATACTAGATTATCTTCTTAGCAGCCTTTTGCTCGACGTAGATTTCAACCATTAAGGTCAAACCATATGCAGTTTGTCTACATTCCTGTCAAAAAAAAAAAAAATCTACTTTTGGCACTGTATTCGTATTTGCATGCGGTGCATAATATGCTCTAGCTGTGCCTCCATTTCTGTGGCATCTCACATGTGTCCATTGATTATTCTTTTTTCTTCGTTGTGATTGCCAATCGCCTCTATTTCTATTACGATATATCCTGGTATTATGTCTTTCATATTCACTAATATTTCTATAATTGTTGTTGTTATATTCTTTTCTTTTTTTGAATTTATTTTTATAATATCCATATATTGCATTCTTACTTTCTTTTTTCATATTAAAATCGTATTTGTTCCTGTAATTTAATACTCTTCCTTTTGTGCTATCTTCTGTCTCGGCGATCGATAAAAATTTGTAAATTACTTTGTTTATGCTGGCATTATGTTACATTGTAGCCTTTACTGCCTCTGTTGTATATTTTTTTGCTATTTCCAGTGGCATTCCTTTCGCTATGTATGCAACTTTTAGCTGTTCCGCTAATTCTTCAACTTCAGATGCATAGACCGCTACGTCTTTATGTCCTTGTCTTTTCTTTGCCAATTTAGCTATTATTGTCTTTGGATTTTCTCCTCTCAGTTATTTCTTTAGTGCCACTGCTATTCTTGCGATTATATCCTTTGTAGTTATAACGTTTCTGGCCTTATTGGTTAAGCTTGTCTTTATTAATGTTATCGCTGTTTCCTCGTGTTCTATCGCTATTTTCTCAAGGAGTTCTAATGAATCTATTAATGACTGCAGTTCACCTGCTGTTCCATTAAACTCGCTGGGTAACACCTTGCTTGCTTTCAATTATCAGCTTTCTGGATTTATAACCCTAAGTTGGTTTTCTCAAGAAATTTATTTCAGTCATTCATTTGCTTTCGTTACCAAGCACGTATTCCTATACTTTTTATGTCTTCATTAATATTATCAAGGCACCTTCTTCTGGGTCTTCCTTTTCCATTCTGACCAATGGTTTTACCAATGAGCGTTTTTCTTGCTAAATCATTTTGTGCCATCCGCATTATAAGCATTACACATCTTAGACGTTCTATTTAAAATATTTTATAATTCTAGTTCCTGATATATTCTGTAAAGTTCGAAATTGTATCGTCTTCTTCACACTCATTATCATTCATCTCTTGATAGATTTACCTTAGTACTTTTTTTTAAAAACATACTAACATGCTTTTATTACTTTTTGTTAGAGTTTAGGTAACTGAACCATATGTTAGGATTTTGAAACCATTGTATTTCTTAATAGAATTAAAGATGTAAAAAGGAAAATGAGCCAAAAATAGCATATGTTGGCCGTGCAAATTTTGCGGCTTATATCTGCGGTAATAATTATTTAATTTCTTACTGTTTTTAAATTTCTACTACAAGGGTTGTCTTTTTGATTTTGCATATGGCGATAAAGTCAAACATATATAGATTGAAAGTACTTTATTGCTGTTCAAAGTATGCCTTACTAAGATCACTACACTTTGTTTACGTTTAAACCAATTGGTAAAAAAGGTAATCCGGTCTTCAGTTGACACCTGTAAAATTTCTTTTTAAAGGCGTCGATGGCTTCTGCTGGCGACTAGAATCGCTGCCCACACAGTGAATTCTAGATCTTTGGTAACGTAAAGAAGTAATTGAGACTTAGGTCAGGGCTAAATGGTGGATGGTGTAACAATTTAATGTTTTAATGCACCACAAACTATATTGTCTTTTGGGCAGTATGAACATTTGCATTGTCCTCATGTAGGATGATTTGCCGTTGTATGTTGCTTTGTTGAAGTTGCGCAATAACTTCTGATAAACAAACGGTTATATACCAATCAGAAGTAACCGCTCTTAAATTTTCTAAAGCAATTGTTGCTACATGACCAGATTTTGTTACAAAAATCGTCACAATTTTCTTTGACACACTTCGATAACGGATCACTTTTGTTGGTTTTTCATCGCGATATACCCACATAGCAGATTATCTGTTATTTTTCGGTTCGTAGTAAATCCAAGATTCATCGCCACTTACAATACTATAAACTATTTTAAGCTCCCTTTGTTGGACCATTTCAATTTTTTCAGGCATCAGATGATGTGAACGGCATTCTGCTCTTTTGTGAAAAAAATGGGAAACCAAATTCGTTGCACCCAGTCTTTACGTAGGATCTTTTGCATTGAGGTCTATAAAATGCTAAAATGTGCCTCTATCTTTCGGTATGTTACACGGCAGTCATCCTTAATAAATTGATGAACCGCATCAATGTTTTGATGTGTGACTGCTGTTTTGGGTGAACCTGGTCTGCCTTCGTCGCCGAAACTGAAGCGAACAAGTTTAAATTTGCAATATGACGGTAAATAGTTCAGTAATGTGATGCTTTATTTTTGTTTGAGAAAGTATATGCGCATTCATTGCATATTTTTACAGTTAATATTTTTTCTGTTACGGTACTGTAATGTGATCTAATTTGGTGCTGTATTTTAAAAGACCTTTTTGAAATATATTGTTTCCTGTTGTCTCATAAAACTTAAACTGGATATCTCATTTATGATGTTGTGAATACGGAGAATTTGGCTTTTTTTTTGAATGGTTCAAAAATATACACACAAGTGTCGTGTTACCGTCACAATTAGCTAAAATTATCGGAAAGGTCGCAATACAATGGAATGATTTATTGTTACACCCTCTGAGACCACCGCTTAGTAGAGGGTTTCTTTATAGCTCTGACCATATCAACGCATTCTCAATTCTCACTTCTTCGTCAGACAACGATCGATCGACAAGCATATAGTTCCGGACGGTTCTCGTGCTAAGCCTCGGGACGGCGACGCTAGCGTCGTTACCAACGACCGACTCTTCAGCCTGGTACGAATTCCTCAATAGAACCAAAGGGTAAGTCTATTCTTGTATAAAACATTGATAATGAGTAAACCAGTTTATTTCAAATTAATTTCTACTTTTACAATTTATAATTGCTATTTTCACCAATTTTATGTATCAACAATATCACATTTTTTCGTTATAATGATTTATTCAATATAATTTAAACCAGCGACTTCTCAAGTTTAATCACTAAACAATTTTTATAAAAACCATTCCAGCGAGGCATTGTTAAGATAATGCTCTCCGAAAATTGTAAAGCAATATTGCTTGAAAGTTTTTTCGACCGACTTGTTAATTTCAAAAATTTACTGTATCTACACGACTACTTGTCTTGTATCACAATAAAATTCTTAATTTAAATATTTTTGTTGGTGGTTTCCTCTAAGTGGCTATATAAAAAAAATTAAAAAGACAAACCTCGTATTGTAAAAAACAAGTAAGGTTAAAATTTTAATTCGTATGTGAAAGTGATCAAACCAAAAATGATTAAAAGGATTAAACTGACTATTTGACAGTCAAATGAAATTTAAGATTTTTTTTGGATGGCTCAGTATTAACGTTTTAAATTTATTTAAGATTAATTATATTTATATATAATTAGTTATTTAAGTAAATATATTCTTATTAAATCCAATATTTAACCGATTCTTTGTAGAAAGCATTTGATGACGTCGAAGTATGTGCAGGTAGTAAACGTATATATTCCGTATCAGAAGCTGAATTTACAAAAAACATTAATGACTGTAGCAAAGAAGTGGTTCGCCTTAGTAAAGCCTGCTTAAAGGAGAGTCAAAGCTATTTTCCAGAATTACTTATAGCAATGCGAAATTCAGTAACATCCTTCCTCTATGCTAACAAAGATGTTATAACATGTAAGTCAAAATTGTTTTGTTCCTAAATATTTTTAGTTTATTTGAAACATATAAATGTCTTATGTCACTTGTTAAATGAAATAGAAAAATGCCTTATTATTTTTTTGATATTACCAGATTTTATTTACTGGACATTTATTAAGCCTCCATTTTGTAAATTTTAATCAAATAGTCAGTTGATATAAATTTATGTTGTACAATAATTATTGTCCGAATGACTCATAGTCACAGCTAATAGAATTGATAAAAGAAACACTAAAAGTAGAAAGTAAAATCCGGATACAAAACGAATTAACGGAAACAATAGATGTGAAGAAGGGACTACGCCAGGGAGACGCACTATCATGCATATTATTCAACATCATACTTAAAAAAATAATAAGAGACACAACAGTTAATACCCTTCTTCTTCTTAGAGTGCCGTCTCCCTACGGAGGTTGGCAATCATAATGGCTATTTTTATTTTAGAACTTGCTGCTCTAAACAAATCAATCGATCTGCATTGGTACCAATCACGTAGATTCTTTAACCATGAGTTCTGCCTTCGGCCAACAGATCTTCTTCCTTGAATCTTTCCCTGTTGAAGTTAATACCCGAGGAACAATAATTAATAAAAGCGTGCAAGTACTAGCATTTGCAGATGATGTTGACATAATCGCAAGATCAAGAAGAGAAATGATAGAGGCATTCCCTCAAATAGAACGAGCTGCAAAAAATAGTGGTCTTAAAATCAATCAGACAAAAACAAAATATATGCCTGCAAATAAAAACGCACAAATAAGGCAGCTGCCAAATTTAACAATAGGAGAATACAACATTGAGACGGTAAAAAACTTTACATACTTAGGATCCCTAGTTACTTCTGATAACAACGTTGCAGAGGAAGTGAAGAGAAAAATATTTATTGCCAATAAATGTTACCATGGCTTAATTAGGCAACTAAGATCAGATAACGTCTCCAGAAAAACAAAATGCCAAATATACAAAACCTTAATAAGACCGGTACTCACATACGGTTCAGAAACCTGCTCACTCTCTAAAAGGAAGGAAACGTTGTTAGCCATCTTTGAAAGAAAAATCTTGCGACACATATATAAGGGCACAAAAGAAAACGGGATTTGGCGGAGAAGGTATAACTTTGAACTATACAACATATACCAGGATCCGGATATCATAACATTCATTAAAATAGGAAGGCTACGTTGGATTGGACATGCGGAAAGAATGGAAGAAGGCGAAATGCCAAACAAAATATTCAAACAAGTGCCAGTAGAAAAAAGAACAAGAGGAAGACCGAAGCTGAGATACTTAGAACAAATAGAAAATGATATAACAACATTAAAAATTAAAAACTGGAAAAAAAAAAGCACGAAACAGGTCAGAATGGAGAAGAATCCTTGAACAGGCCAAGACCCAAAAAGGGTTGTCGAGCAAGTGATAATGATGATGATGACTCCTAGTTTCTTCTTCAACTGCCATCTCCGCGACGGAGCGGAGGTCGGCAATCAACATAGCTATTCGTTCTTTTGAGACGGCTGCTCTGAAAAGATCATTTTTTGATGTACATCCGTACCACTCTCTCAGGTTGCACAGTCATGACATTCTACACCTCCCTATGCTTCTTTTTTTTTGGATCTTTCCCTGCATAATCAGTTGAAGCAATGTGTATTTCTCTTTACGTGTAATATATCCGAGATAGGTCAATTTTCTTGTTTTGATTGTATTTAAAATTTCTATTTCTGTATTCATCATTTTCATAACCTCTTTGTTTGTGAAGTGATATTTTCAGAATTCTTCGATATAACCACAGCTCGAATGATTCCAGTTTTTATTATTGATGTCGCGTTCAAGGTCCAAGATTCCATTCTATAAAACAAAGCCAAAAAAGCAATTTTAAATCCCTTGTACATAGCACTCTCTTGATTTTGTTGAAATTTTTTTAGCTTTTTCCATTCTGATTTTGATTTCCTAAATTTCTGTTTATAAGAAGATTCTCGCTATTTCTTTAAGTTAACGATATTCTCATAAAATTTTGTCTTGTTGACATTTACTGTGAGACCGTACTCTTTTCCGTAGTCCGGTATTCTGGTTACCAGTCTCTGAAGATCTTCAATAGTTGTGGCTAAGATCACAGTGTCTGTCTTACCTTCATTACAGCTGTTTCTTCCTCAAGAGCGTTTTTCAGGATCTCTTTGGAATAGGCATTAAAAAGAATTTGCGACAATACGCATTTCTGTCTAACTTATAGTTTAGATTATCTCTAATAGATAAGGTACTTTTCATTACATTATTTTAAGGTTTTACCAATTGCCTACCAAGTGTTACTAAATACTTTTTGGATTTTTTTTTTATAGTAAAAATCGGTAATCATTTATGTGCCACCATAGTCAGCTATGCTAATATAAGAGCTAAATAAGACTAATGATAAAAATAACAAATTATGAATTTTGTGATAGATCAAATCATGTACGTGGCAAACCCAGCATCAAAAAATGTCGTAGGAAATAATCAACTAAAAAAATATTATCACTTCATAAATAAGAAGTTATCACAAATGCTCTTACATAGATCAAGAACACAATTTGCTTAAAGAAATATTGGTTGATGGAGGGAATTCTTGATATATTAAACAAAATAAGAAAACAAAAAATCAACAAACAAATGATTAGATGAGAAAAATGCAACGAAGTTTGCAACAAAGGCAAATCTATAATAAAACAAATACGATAAAAGTGTTTGTAGTCTATTTTTATACCAGTATCAAAATATTTGGAGCTTTTAAATGCAGTTAACATAGGAAACCCTATATATAGTAAAAATATGTTAAAAATTCGTATGAGCTGAACTATTAGAACTATATTATAGTTAATACACTACAAGCTACAATATCAATGATAAAAAGAAATATAATTTATCAGTTTAAATTTAAAAATAATATATGGACCAGGAAAACCATCTTATCTGTCCAATTATAATGCCAGAACTGTAAAAGTAAGAAAAATATTAGTTAAAGTGCCCGTTGGTAAAAAAGATTATGATAGATACTCTCTCCAAAGTTTGGGTATCGTTTTATTAGGCCGATTCTGACACGATTTTCCTCTGCGACATTTTTTGGGTCTTGGGCATTTTTTCTCTAATTTTTCCAAAAATTTTTACTTGTCAGACAGGAAAATCGAAAAATAAGTTCCGTCAAACAATATGAAAAGGTATTGTTGCTGCTGTTAATGAAAGTGTCCTAAAATTAGCTGGTTTTTTATTAATTTAGTAGTTTTCTGACATGTTTAAGTCGAGTGCATTAAATAATTTATATTCAATATCTTCCTCTTATTGCCCCGTCTTCTTTCGAACGGCGAAGATCCAAATGGCAATTGTATGTCTTTTAGCCATGAGTTCTGACATCTTCCAACTGATCTTTTGCTTTGCACTTTACCTTCAAATATGATTTGAAGTAATTCGTTAGTTTTACTCCCCAATATATGACCCAAGTTTATTTCTATTGTATTTTATTTTTTCTCTTTATAAGCAATTCTGATTGTTCATTGGCGTATTAATTCCTCTGCGGAAGGTTGCCACTACATCTTTTGCGCTGTTGTCCGATAATTCTTCTACCGATTGATGACTTATATCTTGCTATTTTGACGACAAAGGTCTCCTCTGTTCTGCTTATGTGGTTATTCAATTCTTTTTTTCCATTTTGTACCCATTCATTTATACAGTGTACGTTACATTCTTTTCTAATATTTTCACTTATCTTTCAAACTCTAGGTGTATTTCCTGTAATTCCCAGTACCCTCTTTTATGCCGTTTCCAGAAGCCTTTGAGTTGTGTTTTTTTCGGGTATTGTTTCTAAGGCATATGTCATTGTTGGTCTTACACTGGCTTGCTTTATAAATTATTGACTTTATCTTATTGCTAATGTGTCTTTTTCGCCATATAGTGTTATTGGGGCATTCTATCAGTTTATTTGGTTTTTGTACTTGATCTCTCATTTCTTTGTCCAGGTCTTCATAGCTAGGCAGTGCAATTTCCAAGTATTTCATTTTCCTTACCTGTTCAATGTTGATGCCATCAATTTTTATTTCACATCTGGTTGGTACTTTGCTAAATACTATTGTTTTAGTTTTTGAGAAGAGATTGTCATACTAAATTCTTTTGCCCTTATGTTAAATTTGTTTACCTTCATCTTGGGCTATCAATATTGCATTGTCTGCGTAACAACGTATTTTTATTTCTTTCTTTATCATTCTGTATTCTCTTTGTTAAAGCTTTTGATGATTTCATCCATAATTAAATTGAAGAGCATGGGCTCAATGAATCTCATTGTCTTATTCCACTACCTATTTATATAAGTTCTGTAAGACTGCTGTCCATCTATTCTGTCTTCCATTTTGTTGTGATTTATTACCGCTTGTAAAATTTTAGATGCATGTATTAGCGTAGCATTTATTATACTGAGTAATTCTCTTTATTTACTCATGTGCCAAAGTACGTCACCTCTGTTAACTTTTTGTATTCATTGAATTCTTAGCATTGGTCTGCATATAATCATTTCAAAGGAATCTATTTTTTTCTGTTTTAGAGTCCATTGTCCAACTTTTACAACCATACAGCAAAACAGAAAAAAGTAACACCTGGTCATTCGAATTCTGAGCTCTAGAAAATCTTGCAAAAAATGTTATAATGTTCAAGAGTGTTTTCCTCGCTTGTTCGATCCTTGATAGTATTTCTTTTTTTGGATTATACTGGCTGTTGATATTTGCTCCCAAATATTTTATGGAAGTTAGCTGTTCTATTATTTGCTCCTTGGCATACAAATGTAATAACCCTGTATAAATTATATTTTGCAGTTATTGTGCATTGCCTGCTATTAGGACGGTATCATCAGCGTACCTGATGTTGTCTATGTTCGTTCCGTTTGTCTTGATTCCACCTTGAACCACGTTTATTTATCATCAGAGAATTTTATTTTTCTTTTATTCCTATAACTTTTATAAGATATT